ATTTTTTTTTTTGTTCACTGGGAATTGTCTAGTGCTTTGATATTAAGCATCAAAGAATGATTTTCCTTTTCAAATTCTAATCTCATCTGAGAGGCTAAAAAGGTATAATGTAGGGAACTGCAGCGAGTTAAGATAGGAGGATCACAACCAGCCACTAATCAGGATTGTTATCTAGATTCCTCAGTGTTTATATGTAGACAAAGATGGTTACATGGAATGTCTGTTGTCTTGGCTTGCTATCAAACTTAATTACTGATATGAGGAAAAAGAGAAAAGCGAAGAGAAGGAGAGGAGGGAAGGAAAGAGAAAAAAGGAGAAGAGAAAAGACGAGGTTTTGCTTACGTCTCCTGCTGGGATGTTAAATCGAGGAGGACATGTTTAGCGCAGATTGTTATTTGTCTGTAATCAGCGCTTTCCTGTCAGTCATGATGACTGAGGCCCGAGATGAGTAAAAAAGAGAGGAGGTAGAGTGAAGCAGCAGAATGGGAATAAGAGAGGAGGAAGACGTCTGGACAGCAATCAAGCGTACCACAAACAGGAAATATAAGTCTGCGGATGCCCCAGCTGTTGTGTTTGGCTTCGCTGCTGTTCCAGTCAAATCAAAGCAGCATGAATAGCTCACACAACAACTTTCAAGTGTCAGCCTCCGAAAATAGTCCGTTTACATTAGCAAGAGTTTTCCCACTGTTTCGACCGGCTCCGTGTTTGGAGTGGATCCATGTTGTTTGCGTTTGTGCCCTCGTTTTTTCCTGGAGCGAAGGTTTTACTGTGCGTGAGACGGACGGGAAACATGTGCCACTAAGTGCGTCTGCGAGGATGTGTTGTCTCGGTGGTTAATGGCTGTTTGATATTGATTACAGCTGGAACGTCCCGGTCACATGTTCCCCCGTCCTTCCCCAGATAACGAGGGTTAACCACTTGACCCCTTGCATGCCAAAGGGGGCTCGGCTCATACCTGGATCCATAACCCCGGCCGAAGCCGCATCTCCCACAGCTCCACCGAGGCCGCAGCCCTCTGGTCTCCAGGCTGGCCCGTAGATCACAGTCGTGTCATGCAGCCACCCCAGAGGGAAATGTCCCAGACTTCATTAAGGGCAGATTAAAAGCAAGAGGAAGGCACTTTAACTGTGATTTATTTTCACTGTGAGGTTGCTGGACTGACTGCAGACCCGCAGCAGCAGCTTCATCCCGGAACGATGATGTCATGGTTTCACTGTTTGCTAAGTGTAAATATCAGATTGGGAAGGAGCGGTGTCCTCTGCAGCAGGGTTCATCTTGAATTTTCAGAGAGAAGAAAACAAGAGCTGCAGCAAGCGTCTCACTCGTCTCCATTTAAGATCTGTAACAAATGACTAAACAATGAATTAATCTGTAATCATTGTGAAAACGGAGGAATTATTTTACTCATTTATCTCACACAAAAGTGCTAAATGTTCTCTGCGTTGGGCCTCAGACAGAAGAGGATTTCTTGCCTCTTTGTTTATATCGTTATAAACAAGCTGCTGAATCCAGGAACAGCTCTGTCAGTTTGGCTGTCTAAAACTATTAGACGATTGCAATAAAGATTAGACATTCATGATCCCTGGAGGACGCAACCTCACGTTGATCATCTGATGTTTTCTTGAGCGCCACTGGCAAGTTAACATTTTTGGCTTTTAGTGAAATATCTTGACACCTATTAGACAGACTGCCGTGAATTCTCATATACAAAGTCATGTTGCCAAGAGGATGAAACCTCATGACTTTGGAGAATTCCTGACATCCTCCAACACTGCCATAACGTTAGCTTTTTTGGTTTTAAGCAAAGTTTTTTAACACCTATAGGATGGATTGCCTTGAAATCTGGTACCTTCATGCCCTGTTAGAGGCAGAAGACCAAATATCAAGATGAACAAACTCTCCCTGATGTCACCAGTAGGTTTCTGTAGCTGTCACTGTCCTTAGGTTGCATTGACAACACTGGAAGTTGGTCATTTTATGATCATTAAGTAAGTTTTGTTTTGGAAAGCAGCACTAGAATATTTGTTTTGTTGTACCTTTGGTCATCTTATCATGGCAAAAATAATTATTTTTAGTCTAGTTTTTGCTTGATTTATTTGTCCTGGTTAATAAGGTTGTATTGCATGTCATGTGACTCACGGCGCAGATGCAAGGGAGAGAAAAAGAGAGATCAGGTGGGTTAAACAGCCAATTTTACATCCCGTCTGCCTTTATTTATTTTCTGTTGGTCATCCAGGCGAACACGGTAATTATTAACCTTGATAACTATTCAGGGAACTGTATAATTTGTTTAGAGAGGCGTGAGAGACAAGGTATTTGTTTTATTGTGAATGTGATATTGTCATGTTTGCGGTCTAGTTTTCACAGTGAACCAAGAGATACAACTCCTGTGAAGATGAAACCTTGTGGACATCAGTATGAAGCGTGGACTCTTCCAATGACTCTTCCATTTTTGCATTGCCTGACTCCATCTAAGCTTTTACCCCTGTACAGTTGTCCTGAATGAGGAAATTAGCGATAAAGACCAAAATCGTTTGTTTGTACCAGACTTTAAACATGTTAACTCCTCCTGTAAAGTTGGGCATTTTAACATGGAGGTCTATGGCGTATGACTCACTTTTGGAGCCAGCCTCAAGTGGCCATTTAAGGAACTGCAGTTTTTGGCGGCCGAGTTTTGCCTCTGAACAACTGTAACGACTTGATGATCATACCCACTAGTGCCGACATGTGATCAGATTTTCAGTTTACGCAGTTCTTCAAATTATTATATAACCAGCCTCAGCAGCACTTTGTCACACTAAAGCTAAGATGTTAAACATGATACCAGCATACCAGCATTTCCACTGTGTTTGCACTTAGCCTGTTCGTAGATGTCCCGTTGGGGCTGTTGGGATGTCATTCTGTGTAATGGCGCTTGTCATTTTCTGACATATACATATTTAGAGACCAAATGAGCAACTATTTGATCACAAAGCAGCTATCAATCATGAAAATTATCTTTCAGTGCAGCCCGTCTCCATTTTGAAGCGTCTGTGCATGAGCTTCCGTGGTATCAAAGTACATTCGGGCTATTTATAGAAGCTCTAATCACAGCCACCTATACACATTAACACGATGACCTCATTCCTTGAAAACGCCACGATTTCATAGGAAGCGGCCCGAAGGAGGAGGGGGGGGATAAAAATCACATATTACTTCATGGTGTGAATATGAAACCTTTGCTCTTCTTTGTCCATACATCTGCTGTTTAGTGTCTCACGTTGCTTTCAGCTTTTGTGTTTATGTAGAGTAATGTGGACGGTCCATCATCTGTTACATATCCCTCCGTAATCCTCCTGCGCTGAATATCATGATATTTTTGTTCTTGTGCCACGTGCACTGCTGTATACTGTGTGTAAAAGATTATTTTTTTATGGTTCCCGAGGCAAATCTCTCTATAATATTGCACTTGGCCACACAAGTGTTTTTGATTCCGCTGATCCCAGACTGTGGTTTAATCACACTCTTACAACAACAGCTTGGTATGTCCACCGTTGTCCTCCAGCGGCAGCGTTTCTATTGGTCACTCGGCTTCGGCCGCAGCTGTGGCAGCCGTCAAAAGTTTCGCGCAGGAGGCGTCTCATTGGCTCGCAGCGGATCAGGTATCCGTACGCGACGGCCTCATTGGCTGTCGAGGTATCAGGTATCCCACGGCCATCAGATGCCAGCTCTGTGGAGCAACTGGTGTTTGCTGTTGCCATGCCAACAGTCATAGGGTCTGTCGCCAGGCTCCCGAGGATGCACTTCTGTGGCCCCCGTTATCACACATGAGAGACACAAATACAAGTACACTCAGACAATCAGCGTGTGTAATCAGTTGAAGCTTGCGCACAGCGAATTGTCCCAGGAAGATTTATGGGCTGCCAGCGCACAACAGGATGTAATAAAAAATAATTTCAGAACCCATTAAGACATGTCTTTAAATGTCTGTTTTCTTTCCTTTCCAATTATGCTGAATTCCCCCTCCTGCAGTCCTGGAATCGATTCCATCACAACCATTAGGGGGCAGCATTGATTGAATAAAGGCAACAAAATTAGGAGAAACTCTCTTTTTCTCTCTCTTTCTCACACACACACACACACACATGCATCGGCACAAAGGGGGCACAGACATGGACATGATCAATTATGTGTCAAGCATTTCTTCCTCAATGAATGAATGGCCCAATGACTATAGGCTACCGACCGTCTATTGTCTATTGACACTGGAGACTAAGTTCTCATGCAGTTCATTATCCCAAAAGGGGACAACTAGAAAAGGATCCAAAGAGGCCATTAATCATCATTCCCTTCAGGGAGGAGAAGAAAAAAAAAAGAAAGAAGAAGGCACCAAAATAACAGCTACTGTAACCCTATACAGTAAATTGTAGAGATTTTTTTATAGAACATAAACAAACATTTAGAAAGGTTTAGCTGTAATAATAGCATGACACCCAAAATTATAGCCCACTCAAGGAGATAATATTACAAATACAATACCGTGGTGATAATTATAGGAAGGTTTTGATGGGCTAATATTGCAGGAATGCAACGGCACGAGTAATTAGTTTGGGATCTACAGGGACAAGCGAGTCTTGGACTTAAAGGGGCCAAAGTTTCGCTCCTGTAAGCACTTTTACGCACGCGTTTTTTTTTTTTTTTTTTCCTTTCACCAAAGACGAATAACTCCAAAGTCCATTTCAATTTGGGTCGATGGCTCGGGCAGAGTTGGTGGTGGTGGTGGAGGAGAGGTGGAGATGAGGGGGTCAACCCAATAACAGCACCCCTCCCCTCCTCTCCTTACCCACCACCCACCCCCTCCACGTCCCCATAAATGCCTTCGCTTCCTGCTTCCAAGTCCGGACAGAGCGCTGTGATTGGCCACTGCTCGCTCTGTGGGCTGGTCCCCCCCCCTCCCTTCCCTGCGCTCTCGTCGGCTCGGGTTACAGTTGAGCTCCGAGCCGCCGCCGACGCCGCACACACACGCAAAAGACAGACCGGGGGAGCGCAAGAGTGTTGCAAGACGCTTTTGAAAACACAACCCGGCGTGGAAATGTTGCTGAGCTGATTTAGAGTCCACCTTGAGGTGCTGGCGAGCAGGTCAAACCTACTTTTTTTTTGGTGTCCAAAGCTGCAACAAAGAGAAAAGGAGACGTACTGTGTGTGTGTGTGTTTTCTTTTTTTGTACGCACTGACCACGCAGCATGCCCGAGTTGGACTACCCTGCCTGAGCGCAACACGCACGCTGAGAGCCGGGAGGGATATTTACAATAGAAACTCAATTCCTTTTTTTTTTTTTTTCTCCCCGAGAAGAAGAATAGCAGAGAGGAGGAGGAGGAGGAGTGAAAGATAACACTGGAATGAAGTGGACCTCGGGATTCCTGGCGTGCTGCGGAGTTGTGACTGATGGATGAATGTGGTCATCTGTAGGCTATATACAGCGACAGGTACAGACACCACCGGGGGAGCTTTGACAAAAGACGCGGCGCTGCGCTTCATCGACAGCCGCATCGCCGGATCTCCAAATTTACACACACACAAAAAGAACTGTGGTTTAGATCTGCTCCACCTCTTTCACATCAGATCAGATCGTTGGGTTTTTTATCCACAGAGTGAGAAAAAAAGGGGTCGTTTCTTTCTCTCTCTCTTTTTTGTGTGTGTGTGACTCAGCCACAGGTCAACCAGGACACTCGGGGCTCCTTTTTTTTTCCCTCAAGAGGGGCTTCATCGCTCGTCCTGCGGACAGTTCAGTCAAGGACACGGGGTCTGGAGCAGATTTTAAAGAAGTCGGGACAGAAGGACATGTATCTGATATCGACCTCACATGCTCCCGACTGATCGTAGCACACCTTCCCACCGGGCGAACCACAGATAGAAGGCTGCCAGGCGCGCTGACCGTTCGCTCTGCTCACTGTCTTGTTTCATTTACCAGAATGGCGGGACTCGGTTGTTGGAAGTATTACCTCTGGATCTTTATTTTAATGTGCAGGTCGGCGTTACCTTCCGCAAAATCGCTGGAGACTATAATTTGGAGCTCGCAGAATCCCAAGTAAGTCTCCTATTTCGTTTTTGGACAAGCATGCCAAACTCGTTGGGTGTGTGCGTAATGGAGAGGGAGGGGGGGGGACTAACATTGCTTGGGAACAGAAGAAGAAGAAGAAGAAAAGTTGCAATTGTGCACAAGCTGGGGTTAAATGTGCTGGTAAATGTAGCAATTATCTGGAAAAGGAACATAATTTATTTAGTTTTAATTGTCACTCCTGCGCCGCAGAGTTTTCTTGTTGATTTATTCTCTGTGGGGAATTTCCCAAACACCAAAGAAGTGCACAGCTCATACAATATACAGCAGGCCTCGTTTAAATCACGATAATAGTTGGTTAATTATGGCAATTTATGACAATATTACACGCACCTTTTTATTGTCAAACTGGTTCCAAAGTCTACCTGGACACCTCAATCAGGGCTATCTCACAGTTGTAACCCACTCCTTCCCTGCAATTTAACGCAATTGGTGTAATTAGGTGAGAATGAAAGTAAAAACAAGTCAGGTGAAGCTTGCCAAATGTGCCAAGGTGTATAGGAAGGGATATGTGTCCTCTCAGGCCGCCCCTGGAGCCCTGAACATGGGCTGCAAGAGGCACAAGGAGGCCGCACTCCTTCCAAACTTTCCCCCCCTCCACACACACACACACACAAAACTGCTTGATAAGATGGTTTCAGATATCAGGAAAAAAAAATGCTTGAAAAGAATTTAATTTTCCTAATTGTCCTGGCTGAAGCCCAGATTAATTTCTTCGCGTGAAATCAAAGGCAAGTTTCTCCACAAACAAAGCAGCTGAAGCCAGACAGTTTTCTTTCCAACTCTCCTAAAAATTCATATTATTCCCATCAAAACAAGCAGAGTGAGCCCAGACTACTGATAATAAATTACGCTCTGGTAACAATTATCACCCACTTAGACTTGACTCCCACATTTACATGATGTTGGAAAGCTTTCATAAGGGGGAAGATAAAAAAAAAAAGAGCGAGAGAAGAGAAGAGGAGAAAAAAAAAATCTGTATGGTTGAAGCTGACCTTCATTTAAGCTCACAGCACCGAGGGGAAATAGAGAGTAGCTCGACAAGCTTATAACTAGAACTTACTCATTCAAGTGAATCCATGATTTATCCCCCAAATGTCAGATGTCATAGGAGCTCGTTGTGCAGTCAGTGAGTGTGAATATTGCTGCCATGTTCATTGGTGTGTATGTGTGTGTGTGTGTGTGTGTGTGGCCTGGTCCTAATGGTGAGACTATGGCCCATCAGCTTTTATTTGACTATAGCTGCAGAGGTAGTGGAACAATGAGCGTCATCAGACACACACGTATTATACATGCACTAAAACCCACACCTTCAAGTGTGGGTAGACAAATGAGAGACGAAAAAAAAAGAGGAAAGAAAAGTGTTGGGGGGGCGAGACATTTATTGATTGATGATGTCACCTGGAGGGAATGTCTTTAGAAGGTTACCACGCTGCTTTTTTTTTTTTCTTCTTCTTCTTTTTGAGGCATTTTGGAAGATCATTCCTCCATCTGTTTCTCCACTCAGCTCCTTGTAAAAATCCCCGTCTTGGCTGAATATTTCATAAAGTTCACAGTGGAACAATAATGCACTCTGCAAAGTGTTCTCTCAAAGCTAATTATCCCGCTGCTCTGTGCTTAGAAAACAATAGACAATTATCTTGCCGCATGCAGACTTTACAATAACAAAAGACAAACCTGTTTTTCTTCTGAAATGTATCAGTCAGCAGCATTGCCTGATAGGTAATAAAAAAAAAAGAGAAATACTTGCACAGCAATCAGCATCCGTCTTCCATGTTTGTTGTTGTAAACTCCGTCTCCGTGTCTCGGCCCATATTGCTCTGTAGTGATAACACGGGGGGGGAAGCCTATAGAAATGTACAGTACACTATCTGGTGACTTATCTAGATTTACGATGTCTTACTTCCTATTCCTGCTTTGGGGAGCACTGCTGCCTCAGCTAATAAATTAATCTGGCCCTCTGCTTGCACACTGTACTACATACACACAAAATATAACAATACGAGTGCCTCCCTACAGGCTATGAGTTATGAGACAAAGTGTAGGAAACCAGCAGGTTTGGCCCACTGTGGTGTGTGTTGTTTTTTTTCTTCTTTTCCTTACATGCCTGTGTGTGTGTGTGTGTGTGCGGGTCCCTTTTTTGTGTTCCTGCTGTTATGGATTTTCATGTGAGGATGCCATCACTCCCGCTCCTGCATTATCAATAACTGGGGTTTGCTTAATTGATTTCCTCCCAGCGTGCTTGAACAGGCAACATACATCATCGCTGTAGCGCTGTCTCCAAAGAAAAATAATAAGGAGGAACATCTTTGACTTTTAGTTGTGCTGCGGGATGTATCAGACCTTTTTGATATTTAATTTGATGGTGGAGGAGTGAGACGGTGGTGGCGAGGAGGGGAGGAGGTGGTGGTGGTGGTGGTGGTGGGGGGGAGGAAGGAAGGAAGGAGCAGCAGAGCAGAAGGAGGCTGGATGTGTCAATGTTCCCGGCCGGTACAGAACCGTCTAACATTTGATCAGAGCAAATCGGATTAGTTCTCATTTAGCTGAGTGGGATTACGCCAGAAAATGTCACTTTGTTATGACTGATCACGTCCCATCGGTTCGGCCGGAGCCGGCGTTAGCAACGTACGGGCGTGCTACGTACGTACACACTGAGCGCGCTCAGGAATGCCGCAGCGATGCCAATTTAATGATAATCTGACAAGGTTGCCACGAGTGGTTCCTGCACGTCCTCTAACCCTCCTCAGCTAATATTTACCTCATGACCCGTAGCTAGCGCGGCCTGTTTGCAGCCGCTCAGGAGACAAACAAGATGATGGAAAGGAGCGAGAGAGATGGAAAACACACTTGCACACCTCTGAAAACACACAGCGAGGAAACAGCCACAGGCGGCCCGAGAGTCTGCTGCACTGCTTTTGAACTCTTCGCGTTTTTCGGTGAGGCTTGGAAACAGTTTGCGGACATTTTTTGGCCCCTGTGTCAAGCTTCGAAGGCCGCAGAAGAACGCGAAATGGCAAAAAGAAAGAAGGGGCGTTTGTGCTGATAAAAAGTCAGCTTAAGCCTCTGTTTCTGTGGCTCTTTACCTACTCAGCTTATTTTGCTGTCCGTTGACCTCAACTGTCTGGCTCACAGTTTTACAGTTGACTGGCTCGGTTTATATCGTGCTGGTGCGGTTTAACGGTTCAGCGGGTTCGACATTAAGCCCGACTTGATTACCGCCGTGATAGTTCGTAAACATGTTTCGTTTTTCCAAAAACAGGAAAACAATGTTGTGTCATTATTTTTTTTTTTAAGTGTTTTGAGATGATGAGGCAGCAAGTTTGTTGTTAATTACGTTTCCAAAGCAACATAATTTCATTTGGCTCCCGTTAGCTTCGGTGTCACATTTAGTTTTTTTTTCCTCCCCAATCTGGTAATTTAGGGGGAAAACCGTTTTTTTTTTTCTTTGTTTGAGGTAATAAGGAAAGAAAAAACAACTCCTTCTTTATCTTTGCTTTGAGAAACTGCTGTTATCAAAGCAAACATTTTGTTCTCCAACGCTGAGAAACCTTTGACTCCTCCACCGCTCCGCTCCGCGCTGACATTTAAATGTAGCAAGGATTTCAGTAGGAGGTTAAAACAACAAACTGCAACTGCAAAAACTTGAAAACTGCCGCAACCTGTTGAACGAGACCAAACTTGAGGACGAGGCGAGAAACCGGATTCGGTCGAGAGGTCCGGCGAGCGTTCCCCTGTCCCGGTCACTGCTGAGAGGGGGTCAGAGGCCTGTTTTTGTTTCTGGCCTGCCTCGCGCCCTGCTGCTTGCCCCCTTTACCCCCTTTTTTTTTTTTTTCCTCCTGCGATACTCACCTTCTCTCTCTTTGCCTCCCAGAGTTCCCCCCTTTCTCCACCCTTTAGACTCTGATCGTGTTTCCCTCTGATAGAGATCTCATTACACACAGAGAGGACTTAGAGCCTGAGCCCCACTCAGAGAGAACGGGAGAGGGCCAGCCAATAAGAAATACTTGTGGAAAGCAACTGGCCCACGGTGCTGTAAGGGCACCCTGTGTCTCGCTATAAGGACAGCTGCGTTTGCTTTTATGTGTGTGTGCACTTCTGTGTCGACATGACTGTTGTTTCAAGCGGTGTGTAACGACAGATTCTTCATTTGGTTATCTCCGTGAGGCACCTGGGCTCCGAAAAGGGGGGGTTTTAAAGGGCTTTAGGTTATTTCAGGGGAAAAAATGCTGCTTTTTCATCATGGTTTTCCAGATGGACTCATTTTATCCGCTGGTGGTTTGGCTGCCACATCACTGAAAGCTGATCATTCTGGGTTTTTTTTTTTTTTTTCTGTGTTATTGATGCGTTCGTTTCTTTATTTTGAAGCAGCGGTGCACACGAAACCGAGCTTCAGCAGCATTTGCAACTAATTTTTTCGGGATCTTTTCCATGCACGTACGAGTCCCCAAACTGGTCCTCGTGACCCCGCAAGTTACAGTTGCTTTTTTTTTTTTCCTTTTCAAGACATATTACAGGAACAACAGCTGAATGCAATGAATCACTTGAGAGAAGGGACTGCGGGGGCTTGGAAGGATTAGTCAATTAGCCGCACAAAGACAAAGCAAAAAGTGATTGGAAACAATCAGCGGCCACTTTGCTAGTTGCTAATTGACACAGAAAAATATTTTAAAAAATGTGAAGCAATCAACATGTGCTATTACAACAAACTACTTATGACTGCGCTCGCCAGACAGGAGTGTCCGGGTTTGGGGTTTTTTTTGGGTTCATCCAGGGAGTTGCAGATTAGAAGTTCTTCCTCGCACTAATGCAAGAATCCTGTATAACCTGATGCCACCACAGAATTTGGAGACAATAGATACCATCGTGTAAACAGCTTAGAAAAATCTCTGATGGTTAGCAGAGGTTTATATTCTCACAATGGAGGATATTGTCACATTCTTGATCCCTACAAGCGAATAATCTCTTGGTCA